TGATGGCACACGTAATCCACGTGGCAAGTTACACATCTGCCTCCAACACGGAAATGCCGTGTCCTCCTACTAGATGTTTTGAGGAGAATGGAGATAACCTTAATTAGGAAAAAGCCTGCCTACAATCAGACTTTAGAAAGCATTCGTGATGCATTTTGATCTTTTTTCCAAGTCAGTGCTGGCCTTAATTTCAATAAAATTATTTTACACCCCCCCCGCCCCCCCCACCCCAGTCCTTGAACTACTGTATGGAGGAGTGGCAGGAATCTCCTCTTTAATATCCCAGGTAATTCAGGAAGCAGAGAGACAGTACTGAAGATACAGAAAAAGGGAAGGGCGTGTTCTAAAATGGAGCCCTAACCAAAATGCCTCCAGGGCTCAGGAAGAAACCTAAGCACATGAACCAGGCTGCACTGGGATTAGTCAGCCTAGGTGATCTGTGCCCAACTAAGGAAACCCAGGCTACTTGGCTCCTGCTAAGAGTGCTTGCAGAAACACCCATACAGTGTTGAGAGGTCATTCCATTTTTCAAGTGAAATCTGAATTTTTACAAGAACTTTCTTGGTTTCTAAAACTTGGCAGCTAAATTGTTCTAAACTAACTAGCTGTCTGAGGCACGATGACCAAACCAGACACATCTGTAGAGGGCCCTATTTGACCAGCAGGTGATAGGTAACCTGGGTGGGCAAGTAGATGGTAGAATTTGAAATGGAAAAAATAGGTGGATTAAAAAGCTCAAGAGGCAAGATTTAGAGAAAATGGCTGCTGAGTGAATGGAAAATGATTTATGGGGAATATCCATTCCAGGTATGGAAAACTGAAGGCTCCAGGGCTACTTTGGGTAGAAAAGACTGGGTGGCTTCAGTTTCGAGGTGGGGGTACATCTAAGATGAAGTGTCACAAACACAAATGATTTATGATCAATTCCCTTTAAACAAATTTCCAAAAGGGGGGACTATAAATATTTATATTTATATTTATATAAATATAGAAACATTCTAGCTTGTCTGCAGAAGAAGTCTAAATCTGTGGGCTCAGAAAATGACACTAATAATTCCATTGGCTGGGATTCCGAAGAAGATATATATTTTAGAGCAATGGAAATGCTACACTCATTTTGATTAGTCACCCGTGCTACAGCCCCCAGATGACTTTTCCACCCCAAATAGTAGCAACCGCAACAATAAAACTGCCACTATGCCTGCCTAAAAAAAATGGAGCAACAGAAGGATATCTCCACAGAGGTTGTAGGACGCTTCAGAGTCTCTGCGGCCAGGGGCAGTGGTGGGAAAGTCTCACAGGACTGAGCAAGATGGGTCAATCACCTCTTTAAATGGCCTTAAATGCCTGAATCATCATTAATCCTATGTCAAGTCCTAAAGGGGCCAGGCGCTCCAAGTCTGCCTAAATCCTGTGGTTATGCCAGTTGCTAAGTTGTACCCATATCTGCTATTATGCAGGGGGGACCAAATGTGTCAATGTACCTCCCTGGAGTTTACAAATGTCTCGGCACAATACTGGAAATCTCATTTGACTCCTGTTATTTGACTCCCTACAAAGCCAGCTGGTGTTTCGAGATGGATATAATGACCAATACAGTGGCTCTTGTAGAAAGTGGCTTGTTTGAAAGTACACTACCATTTGCCTCCCTTTTTCCTCAGAAACTGGATAACTGTCTAGTTTCACTATACTAATGAAGCAAATTCTACTTACAGAAGCAAGGGGAGAGAGGAATCAGCTACCACTTACCAAGTACCAGCAAATCTTTACACCATCTCCTCTATCTAGCAATTTCTCCATTATTCCCATTTTACAAGTGAGGCTATTACAGCTCAGAGGGATGGAAAGATTTGCCCAAAGGCATACATCTAGTGAGAGGCAGAGCTAGGTTTTGACCCCTGGCTCCTTCCACCACGTTACCTCACCTCTCAAGGTGCAGCAACCCCTCCTCTGTCACGAGTCCCTAGAATGGGAGACAACCACAAGACTCAGTTGTGAATGCTGGCCTTGCCTTTACCTCTTTCAGAGGGCCCCCAGAACCTAGGGCTTCCCCAGGCACTGTCACGTGTCCTCTGCTACTTTTCTATAGGTTAGTAGAAAGCCACAGCAGCCGCATTTGGTCAACCAAGGACTGGTTTTGTTTGGAAGTTTGGAGACTGCCCCTCCAGATAAGCCTGGAGGATTCTGGAATTCCAAGTCACTCCAAAATTCCACCCATACTACCACTTTTGCCACAGATCTCCTTATAGGAGTTCCCGGTGGTTTAGTAACTCTAAGACAACAGTAAAAACATTTCAAAGAGGGTGTGGGGAAAAGACCTTTGGCTGCGGAATGGGTCCAGGTCCAGAGCAGAATCTAGGCATCATCATTGTCTCCTAGGTTCACCTTTCCCTAATCAGAAGCCTACTCCACTCCTAATCCTTAAGTGTTACCACTGGCCCTTCAGACTCCAAAACTACCCCAAGATCTGGGGTGCTGTCTAGGAACCACAAATGATCAGGCAGTCCTATCTATGTCCCACATCTACATAAATGAAGCGAAGACCCCTCTGTGTCAATTCCTTTCTTTTCTTAACTCCCATCCTCTCCTCTAGCTTTTTTCTTCTTGCTTTTTTTTTTTTTCTCTATTTTTATCTACCCCCATTCAATAAGAAAAGAAATGAATGAATGAACAGGGAGAGTAAATATGGATTTTTTTGGGAGGCAGTATAGTGTTATCTAAATATACAGCATTTTTCTTTTTTGGAACAGGAAAGAGCACACATCACAATATTTGGGGTTGCTGCCTTTCCTGTTCTATAGAATGAAATGAAGCTGCGTGGGGAAAAGAGAGGAAAAAAGCAAAAGGAAAAGAGAAAAACAGGAATAAAAAGGAAAGGAAGGAGGGGGATAAAAACTGTTTAAAAACAGTGAGGCAGGAGCAATCATTCATAACTTGTCCCTCCTGAACACTTGTCAGAATTACTTAGGACTGCAGAACACTTGGCCCTGGCCACTGAAGCAAGTAAGACATGTGAACAGTTCTTAAACAAAAGGAATTTAAAAGGAGATACCTGCATTGCATCTGAAACTCTTCGATACATCTAGTTCACATTCTGAAAG